CAATAACGAAAGCGGATTGTTGACGGCAGTAATGTAACACAACAATGCCGAGTAAACAAATGACGTAACAATTAGTTTCTTAGGTAAGGGAATTTAGTGCAATACGGTTCATTCAGGCAATTATACAGCATGCATAAGAAAGGAGAAATGAGCCTTACGGCATGCTCAGCTAATATTGTTGAGGGCATGTGTTAGAAATTCGAATACTTTTTCTTGCATTGTTATGCACGCAGGAGGTCATATAAAAACTCACCATTGTCAGTCCATATTTACACATTGTTGATGTGGATCTTACACATCTTTGTTACGCTGTTTTTGCCGAATTACCCTTTATAACTTGTGTTGGGTAAGGCCGTGGTCTAGGCATCACGGAGTTTTCCTCTGGGGGCTTCCCCGGTTTCTCCATGGCATCCCAACAATTACTCCATTCACACTCACACAGAAGAAGGCAATGGCAAACTACTTCTGGATCATCTGCCAAGATCGTATATGAACAGGTCCCAGTCCGAGAAAAGGATGGAAGGATCCTGTTCATATGGACCTGTCGTCAGACAGAACACTACAAATAAAAAAAAGACGTATTTACGTCAATAACCACTCTGACAACAATGACTAAGGCTCGTGGACGTGATCAACCAGTGACATCGGAAAGAAAATGACATTCCAAACTTGCTGTTTATATACAATGGAATGTAAAATGTAGCTACATGGCGACTTTCGAAGCGTTAAACCAGGCCACTCGACCACCAAATGTCCGAATCTTTCAGACAGACCCAAAATTAACAAATACGCTACAATTTATAGTTTAAAGTTATTTAGGTGCAAATTATACATTAAGTTAAATTCTTTGTAAGGATAAAATTAATTCATTATTCATGTAACAGTTCTGATTTCAGGTGACCTGAAACAGTTACTGTTGCAGTTCATAATTTGTGTTGCAGTCTTTGATTCTTGACATCTGTTGCCACAAAGCTCGCGTCTTACTTGTGAAGCATATCACTGCTCTGCGAAGAACACAATGAAGGCAGGCATACATTGTCTTCAATTACAATTTACGACACGCCCAAAACCGCCCGAAGACAGCTGAACCAGAAAATTCATGTTCTGCTGACTATTTGCACACGAAGGTCACACAACGATACCGAACTTCCAAAACATTCTTTTATTAATCGTGGACCGCATGAAATACTGTGAAGGCCAAGACACCATCACAACACAGCAGTAACAGATTATCGTATGCTGTGAAGCTGCACTCAACATTTAAACGACCCGTTCATCATCTCGCGCGCGGGCCACAGCATCTCCTCCATTACTCTCTGTTGCGTGCTCGGGTAGACCAGTGTCTGGTGGTATGGCCACGTAAATCCCTGATGTTGTACTCGACGTAAGGTAACGCCGACAAGTCGATGCCCAAGGGAGGCATGGGCGACTCGAAATTGCTCCGCAAGGCCTTAGTAAGAGACCACGTCTCGGCGCAGTAGCAAAGTGCCGGCAGTACGGTGGAGTCGAAGAGCTCAGCACGAAGTTCCACGTCTCGCGTAGCGTCGATCACTGATCGGATGGATCCGAATGCTGCCCGTCCCGCTCGCCGTCTCCGCGCCAACCCCGGTTTGAGCTCGTTCTGCGCGGTGATGAGGAGTCCGAGGTAGACGTATTCTTTGACGTCCTCCAGCTGGAAGGCGCCGACGGCGACCGGAGCAGCGGCGGCGAATCGATTACGCATCGTCTTGGTCTTCCTGATATTCATCTTAAGACCGACGGCGTGGCTCTGTCCAGCTTTGCCAGAGTCTCGGAGGCTTCACCCGGAGTCGCGGTGATGAGAACAATGTCATCAGCGAAGCGCAGGTGGCTTAAGGCGGCGTCCACCGATGAGGAGGCCTCGATCGTCCCAGCAACAGCAGTGGATCACGCTTCCCAGCACCACAGAGAAGAGGTTCGGGGAGATGGGGTGGCCCAGACGGACACCCTTCTCCACTGGAACCGCGACCTCTCTCTGCTACTGGGTAAAAACCCATTTGCAGTTAATAATAAATAATAATAATAATGAGCGTGGTGGAACAGCGGTCGTAGCACGCCTACAAAATGCAAATGTACTCCTCCTCTACTCCTTGCTGCCACAGCGACTCCCAGACGTTCTCGGGTTCGACGCTAACAAATGCCTTCTCGTAGTCGATGAAAGTGAGTACAAGCGGCATCTGGTGTTTCCGGCTTATCTCCAGCAGACGGTGGATGGTGCAGCTGTACTTCGGCATATACAAATATTTATAAATTCCACGTTATATTCAGGCCATCACGCCTTCCTCTCTGAGTAAACCAAATTACATAAGAAAGTTCGACGAAAACAATGTGAAATGCGGTATTATCTTTCTTGGCTAGATTAACTCTGACCCTATCCTAAACAAGAGAAATACAAATGTATGTTCTGCGTGTATCACATCTATGAACATTTTGCTTTTTACACTGGTGCCCTAACAGCAACAATGACAACTTTAGAAGAAAGTGGTTAATGCCTCAACAACAGTGTTAACAATTCTGATTTAAGTCAACTCATTTGCAGCGTGCAGTAATCAGTGCATGGATAACATGGTCAAAAGATAAATAAATGCAAGGAATCCATGAGGTTTCAATTTCTGTTAACACTTCAGAAGATACTCATCAGCAACAGACCAAATTCAGCTACATTTACTAAATGGGCCAGGGGAATTCAACTAAAGTCTTCCAAATTTTAGTAAACGTATTGAAGAAATAACTGTAAAAATACACATTTTGGACAATTCAAAAGTACAAATGGCTGCCATTTGTAAATCTTAATGATAAGGCCAGAATATGTTGCAGTTATTGAGTTAGGTCAATACCTGAACTGTGATTAATATTTGTTTACTTATAAGACAATATAGAAATGTTGTGAAAATTATATAATCACTTTTCATGTTCCTTGATTTTTTGTAAGAATCTTTTTTACACTAAACATAAATGTTAAAATAAATGAAAACATATACATCTTTGCAAATGAAATGTGTAATACTCAAAAGTTTACTTTAAAAAAATAAACACTTTCAACTGGAAAAAACTTTGATTCAATTTATGAAATTCTTTCCACTCTTTGCATTAAACAGTTAAAAATGATAAGCAGATTAGTATTTGGAAGGAGGCAGAAACAGCCTACTCATACAAGGTCATCCACCCTCACTCAACTGAAGAGACTAGGAAGCAGCAACAACAACAATAATAATAATAAAAACTGACCAAGGTTCAAATTGGGTACCTCCAGAATACAGTACTAAAGTATTACTTCTACTTGTTAAGGAAGAGTTGACACTATTCGTTTGCTATATTGTTGCCATTACATAAGTTCTTACAGCAAAAGAAAATAATGGTTGTCAATTTCTGTGATAAAGAAGCAAAAGCTCTTGATATCAAAAACAGTAAGCACAGTATGAGAAATCTTGTATGTCATGGTTAGAATGTTACTTAATAACAATGTATCAACTAGTGATACAGCTTTTTCAAGTGATTAGCTGCTTTGGTTCAAGTTGAGTGCTTTAGAGTCCTTCTCTACCTCTGTCATCACTGATAATGGAGGCAGAGAAGGTAGCTACTTATTACCCAAGAAGATGTTATTGTTTTAGATACTGAAAAAGCTTCAAGTCCCTATAAACTACACAAATTATTGAACCTGAACAGAAAAAACTGGATGACTGTACATGATTAACTAAAAAGAGTAGCTCTCTTTCAAGATTTTTTACACAAGGAGACACAAATACAACCTCACTGCAAAATATCACATTTACTTTATTTATGAGTTACTTAATGATTCTGTCAGCAGCTCACTATATAAAATCAAATAATATGAAGAATAATGAGATGGAGAGAATATGGATGGAAACAGTCATGACTTAATTTAAGGCATTATTCCAGCATTTGCCTGGAGGGACTGACAAAATATACAAACACCTCAATTAGGACAGCAAATCTTCAGATTGGTATTTGAAGTTGATACCTCCCAAAGTCAAAGAAGAATTACTATAACTATGGGCAAACTACTT